ACTGGTTTCATGGGTATGCCGAACTCAATGAGAATATTGTACAGTACTTCCCTTATAACTAAATCATATTCTTGCTTGAAGTCTATGAATATTCGACGTGCTGTGTCATTGTCCTCGTATTTTATCTCTAGAATCTGACGAATAGAAAACATATTGTAAGTAGTTTACCTATTACGTGTAACCCACACTGGTGATCCACAATTATTTAATCTACTTGTGGACTTAACCTTGAGAGAAGGATGTTGGATACAATGATTTATTTTTAATGTAAAATGAAAAAGATTTTAGATTAATTTTTTTCGAATGAGGCTAATGTGTTTATCTCCCACTAGTACGTTTTCAACATGTAAAACGATTGTAATGAAAATCACGTGCTATCTGTCATTCATGCCTTTTGATTCCCTAAATTATCAGTATTCACACATGTCCTGTGACCGTATGATGTTGGGAATTAGCGGAATAGCTTGTTGCCAGTAATGCTGAATTTACCAAAATACTCGCATGGTTTAGTTGTTACACGAAAATGTATACCGCCTTCATTACTTGTCTGTACGTGTCGGGTATTGGATGCTGCCGTCCAGAGACCCACGAGTCTGCGATAAATTTCAGGCGTCAGAAGTTCATCCAGCGAGTTATGTGGAGAGCAAACAAGAATGAATCATCATCCGTACATTTCACAGCATGCATTCTGTTTACCCACAGTTCCTCACACTCAACAATGACGTATTTCGGGATGTTCAAAAAAACTTATCTTTTTCAAATATTCTTTCAATTTTCTTAAGTACTGTTTCCAGTTTAACAATTTTTCAACGTCTTACGAAATATGTACAGATATTTTAGTTTATTTTTTACGTCAAGTCCCGTTTGAAACGTAACCTTAGTTTATGTAGCTAAGTGCTATACGATGGCCTTCAAATTGAGTGTCATGAAGCCAGCTTACAGATGCGTCAGCAATATATAAATACAGACTACTGATAACATGTTACAGGCATTTATTTTCCAGCGTACATAGAACCAGTCCATGAACATTCCTAGTCAGATGAAACCTCGTGCTGGAGGCAGTCCCCCAAATAACAGGTCGGACGTAAAATGAAAACATGCGTCATTTGGTATCATCGTCTGCCAACTTCTTCTATTTGTCTTCATGTTTAAATTATCACCGGTCCACAGCCTCTCGTGTTTCAAAACATTCGCGCATCGCTGAGCCTGTCATAAGAATGACACATAAGGCAACAAGCTTCAGATCCGAACACTCTACTGGTTAGCATCCATTTCTTTAAAAATATTTTAAGTGACTAAGATTGCAGTTCTTAACAGAAAATAATTATCATCAGAATAAACAGCTTGTTACAAAAGTGGAGATCTATACGAGGTCTGTTCAAAATGTATCGGACCTTCATTTTTATTTCGTAGATCTTGCGTCTTTCTGTACGGTCAGCCAGATATCTGAAATAGCTCCTTGTGTTCATCTGATATGGAAAAAATATATTTCTGACTTTAAGTAAACAGAAAGGAGCAGAAGATTTGGTGACCATCTCACAGGGCTAACTAATTTAATTCTGGATTTTAGGTTTTCTCTCTGGCCAGCCATGATGAAGATGTTTCATGAGAGGATTAAATTAAATTAAATTAAATCCGTGGCGTAACAGCCCTCTGAGAGCCAAAGCCGACTAGCTTGACTGCTGGCCTCACGTTCACATGCCTAAGCAGAGGTGAACGATCATCCAACCAGATATAGGGTGACGTGTGGTCAGCACGACGACCCCCCAGCCATTGCTGGCTTTCCTGACCGGATTAAGCTACTAATCGTAGCTCCCCAATTTCCTCACGATGCTGGGTTGGCACCGGTCCCATACACTGGTCGAAAATCTCATGATAAATTTCTTTCCCCGAGACTCGAACCAGCGCGCATTCCTTATCGCCGGTCCAAAGCATGACGCCTCAGACCGCGCGGCTACGGCGCGGGACTTTTCATGAGAGGATAGTAAGAAATAATTAATAATTTCTGCATATCACATGAAATTTATATGATCTGAACCTAGTATAATGAATTCTCAGGCTACCAACCATGGAAGGGGGTTTGATGGAGAAAACGCTAGCATTTCGAGGCCCATCTTTGTCCTCGTCCTCACGGCACACATGAAATTTGTTTAGCCTATAGTTCCATCTACTTCTGGTAGGTTGCATGGCTTTGCTGTTGTGTTGAAACCTGAATAACTTCTTTATATTCCTTATCCCAAGTCATGGGTTCTTGGCACCCAAGTATAGATGGTAGTGAATCACAGCCAGAATTGTACTGGTAGCTTTCATGAATGGTTTAGTGTACAGATTTACGTATTTTACATTTTGCAAAAGAAGCTGGATTGTTGGGCTTTTAGGCTTTGTCCATCATCTGATGAACTTTTCAAAATAGGTCTGCATAACAAGACCAAACAATTATCATTTTGGCTGTCTGGTAGGATGTTGCACTGTGCAATCAGGTGAGGTGAGACAACCTCCCACAAGACACAGCTCCATCCATAAATCTGTTCCCTTCCACAACTTCCGTTCTTAACTGCCATTAATTTGACTTCCTCCACCCGATTTTTGAGAACTCTTCCGTTCTGTGTTTCACTTCCTAACTACTGTTCACTTCCGCCTGTCAACTGTCAAGTGACTAGTTAAGATTTTATACCTCTCTGTTTATAACAACCATGTAGTCTGTAGGATGTTTCTGTGAAATATAACATATGATAAAAATATGTAATGAAAACAAAACTATGAAAAATATTAAAATTGTCAAAATGCCTTTCTAGTAACCATGAGAGAGAAATCTGTTAAATTAAAAATCTCAACTTCTCCAGAAAGTGAATTATTTTGCTTTTATCTTTGAAACATTTTTATAATTAATGGTAACTGACAGCTGCAGGTGTGGTGTTATTCATATCTGAAAACAATCAAAAACTATAAATATTTTCTGCTGTAAGAACATAATTTTGTGCACTGTAATTGGGGAAAAAAAGTTGAGTCTCATTCATGGGCATTTGTAATATTATTTGAGTGCATAATTCGTAATTTGGTCTTGTGTTTTCCCTTTCTTTTTATTTTCTAACTTTCGAATTCCGCTATGGTTTGTTGCTTCCTACATTGTACTTTTATTTCCTCTCTGATATGATACTCTGTGCTTTTGGAAGAAAAAGTATGGCAGAGGGTACTGATCACAGGAAAACATTATCCTGTCAGGTAGGTAGGTTTATCTGTGGTTTTCGTTGAAGTATGTTATTGTGTCCTCTGCTAAGTAGTACGTCATTCTACGATGGCGTTGGTGAGTGTGTAGAGGAAGGCTGCTGTGTTTTTCTTGGTCCTTTTTTTCCCCATAGGTAGATATTAAATTTGTGGTTGAACCATGTCCATTAATAGGTATTATAAAAAGTTACTTATAACCGTATACATTTTTTACATTCGTTTATGTTGGACATGTTTGAGATTGTTATAGAATTGTCTTATGCTGTTTAAATTACCATCTGCGTTTCAAATGAATCGTAGGTCTTATGCTCTTCAAATTTATTATTTAAAATTGTTGTTGATCAACTCGATATAACTTGTGGTTCAACCGATGTTTGCGGATAACCAGATCACCAGTTTTCGAGCTCTAGGACACGCTGGTTTCGTTTGTTCGGCCAGGCAAATGCAAGGATATTGGCATTATACCATTCTTTCTTCCACATCTTTTCCATTTTATTAATCACTTTTATAATTTTATGTTTTGGTCTGAGGTACGGGCAGCGTCATGAATAAATAATTTGAAACATTTGGTAATGAGTGTATGGCTGTGCCCATGTGTGTGTTGGCTAAAGGGAAGTAGTAGTAGTCTGATGTGTAGCATTTCAAGACATTCTGCCCGATCACATATATTAGGTGAGGCAGTTTGTGGCTCGGGAATGATAGTACTAATGTCCTGTCTTACTGACTTTGTCAAGATGTTTTGTTCAAAAATATTTAAGTGTGGTATCTTGCAGTTGCCTTCAAGCAGCAATGAATGGACATGAGTGTTCGGTGATTTTAATGATGAATCTTCCCGACAGTATCTAGGTATTAGATGCAGTACAAATCCTGATACAAAGTGTTCTAAGCTTATAAAATCCAATTTTAGATGGTGTGAGGGAGAATTTCAGGTGGTGTGTTGAGAAATAGTTCCATGAGGTACTGATTGACATTTAAAATACTAGTCACCTACTCAACTACTGCTTTATTGACTTATGTTATGTGATTGTGGCTAGCAACAATTCACCTTTATCAGGACTTCAAAGCGATTCAACCAAATGAGTTTATCGTTAGAGGCTTCCAAGTTCTTGTTGATCGTTGAAAATGTCTTTAATTTTATAGTAGCATGCCATCCTGGTGGAGATGAGATGGGTTAAAAGAGGATTTGTAATATTGCATGCAAGGGAAAGATGATCTTTTACAGCACAAGAATGCAGAGGAAGGAAGAGTTTTTGAAATACAGGAGAGTTGACTTGACACAACAAGTATATGAAGTCTAGAAATTACCATTTTATAATGTCATCTTCACTTTCACAGGATACATGCTTTTTTCATTGGTGCTTACAAGACCAAAAAATTGTTGTATAACCAATACTTTTATTGCATTAACCAACATCCATGGCATGATAAATTTCCATAATGAGGAATGCTAGATTATAGTTTACTTGGTTAATCCTGCTGTGATATTCATTTTACTTTTTAACTATTCTTGGATATCTAAAAAGTTTTTATTGTTTCCATTTTGTCTCTAGTTTAACCTTGTGGGTGAATATGTAACAAGCTGAAAGAAGTGGAATTCAAAGTTTTAAATCATACCAAGATGTATAAAAGCTAAACATTGTCTGTGCTTAGATGCTTCAGAATGTTGCTCTGCAGACATCAAATACCAGTCCATAACAACCAGCAGCTGCACAAATGTAATGCATGAAGGCCTCATTTTGAATTGTGTTAGAATACTGTAATTTGTTGAATTGCAGCAGAACATATCTTCTCCTGAAGTGGTCTTTGGCATGATGGCAGCAGCAATACACAGTGGTTGGAATACATGAGTGAATAAACGAAATGGCAGCAGTACATAACCAAAAAGCTTTTTGAATGGAGGTATGTATTTTTGCACTAAATTCTAATTTAATGTTCAGTGGTATGTATTTTTTACTTTCCTCACACAATGTGAACAAAATACATGCATTTTTAGTGATGCTGCATTTATCAGTGTGTATGTTTTATGTTTAAAATTCTTAGATTTCTGTGAAATTCAGTACTGGGGCTAAACTACAGTCCATATATGATGCATGTTTCTAGTGTGGTGAATAACAATGCAGGCAAGTGTTTCTGGAAACTTTTATCTGTAATGCACTTAGCATTGCAACATTAAATTTGGCTGTAATGTGTGGTATAGATCTTTGAGGTGTGTGTAATGTTAACACATTTGTAAAATATCTGCGCTCCATTGGAAAAACATAAAAATGTTCTAAGGTGCTTCTGGTTTACTGCAATTCAGTTGCAGAAGGTAAGGAAATAAAATACTTGTTGCTACTAGCATGGCATTACTATCAAGTTTGTTAAGGGACACATAGGCAGCTGGCAAGTAGCCAAAATTTAAATGTGATGTATCATGCTAAAATTCAGTTTCAGTAAAGTAGCAGAAGGCAGGGCCTTGCATTGACTTATCTTGCTTTTATATATTTTGAGTTATTTCTTTGATATATAAACATCTTAACATTAGTTTAGTATGGTGTTGGTACAACATGCAGGAATGGGTACATTTCAGAAACCTCTCATTATGTTTGGACTGTACAGACATCAGCATCACATATAATAGAAACATCTCTTCAAGGGCTTAGCTTTTGTTAACAGTAAAAGTAGGAAACCAGAGAATTAGGTCCATTTATTATACCAACAAAAAAGTGTCATGCCATATTGTCATAAGTCGGTGCTGCAATTATTTACAGGATCTGCAACTATGCTGAGCTAGATGCACCAGTCAATTTGCAAGCTACACCATGATCATTTGAAGAACTTACTTTTCAACACCACTGCATTTAGGAGGTAAGCTTGAGAACTGAAACCTACCACATAAGTCAGCTAACTAGGTTTAACAGTGCTAACAGTTTAAAACCTTATTAGCCATGTCACATCATGTATGTACGTCATTCATATCTGTTGCCTCTGAAGTGAGTGCTTTTAAAAAGGTTTCCCTGCAAAAATTATTCATGTTTCTTTGTTTTCTTACCCATCCAGGTTACATGTTTGACCTTATGCTACTCCCCTTGAAGAAACTGCCATGATGGCTGGAGAAAATTTCATTGTCATAATTTCTTCAATTTTCACTTATTTGGGATCCAATCTTCTGTAAATTCTTTCAGTTTGCGCATTTCCCCTCAATAAGAACAGTGATTCAGAAATATAAGGATTCTTGCTTTTTACTGTCTTTGTTGTATTAGGTACATAAAATTGCAGTTTTCAGTTGACAATTTTCCTTCATGTAAGTTGTCTGCGTGATTCCTCCAGATATTTAAATTCTGACACTTTTCTAAATTGGCATTTTGCAGTTTCCTTGCATGATCTTGTAGGATAATTTCATATGAACTGTTGGGCAGAATTTATGTTTGCCTTTGGTTCTAAAAAAAATTGCCATTGAATATTACTTTGTCTGCCAATAACAGTTTAAAAACTTTATTGGCTTATCTTAAATTACTTCTTAATTGCTTTTAAAATATGCAGTGTCCTATGTGCTATTAATAAAACCTGAAGATGAGTAATTTTAGCCAAAACCTGCTGTTCAGTATTAATACAACCAATAAAGCGTGAAAAAGCAACAGTATAAAAAAATATGCAGTTAACACACCGGGTTAAAATTAAAAACATTTTAGTTGTTCAGAGCCAGGAACAATTTAAACATTCCAATTTTTCAAATGTATCATGTTCAAAATTAAAATAGGAAGGTAAACACTTCATAATTGTTACTTTATCAGATGTAGCAGTTACCAGATTTTGTTGAAATACCAGTTGGTCACGTCAACTGCTGTGTTGTGTTCTGAGACAAGTAAGTACTTTCGCTGGCTTTAAATATGGTTTCTGTTCTCTTCAGTTCTCTATGGTTCTGATTATGTAAGAAACTCTGAGAGTTGTTTTGTTCGTGCATATTTTAATAACTTAACATAGTTCAATTCTTAAAGGAAAAGTAAAGATGGACCCTGTATTGAGCACAATACTATTAACTCATTGTTGTGAATGTGATTCACTTGTTAGGAAGATTGACTCCTTGTTGGCTTAGTCATGCAGTTTTCTGTAAGCACAGTGATTTTAAGGTACATGTGCAAAAGTAAGTTATATTTCTGTGTGGGTAAGTTTTCCATTGAGAATTCTTTTTACTTCTCTATAATTATTACTAGTATCAGTGTCCATTTCCAATTCCCCATATTGTTTATTTAAGGCAACGTTCTATTATATCCGCCTCATTATGTTGCCTCTGTAAAAAATGAAATTCTGATACTTTGTGTGAATATCGGCTAAAAGTAATTGAAAACTCCTGGCAAATTTCACATCTGCAATACACATTTTACATAAATATGCCAATTGGAATTATGTTGGTTATTTTACAAGCTGAACAGCTTTTTGGAGCCTAATTTATT